CCCCCCCCCCCCCCCCCCCCCCTGTTGCCCCACCGAATCATAGCTGTTGCGATATCTGCATCGACGTCGTACCTGTGCCCTCGCCGTCGCCTGTACCGTGGTGATGACACCGATCACCTCACGCGCAAACGCCTCCTGCAAAACCTGACAAGATAGAAACGACCGGTATTCGACATTATCATTGCACGATACTTTTGCTAGACCGAGGGTTGGTTCAACACTGGCAGAAAGGGCGAGAGAGGATTAGAGAGAGGGGGAGGGGGGGGGAGAGAGACAGAGCGGGAGAGAGAGAGTGAGACAGACAGACAGACAGACAGAGAGACAGAGACAGAGACAGACAAGACAGACAGGTAGAGAGACAGACAGAAACAGAGAGAGAGAGACAGAGAGAGACAGACAGACAGACAGACAGACAGAGACAGAGACAGACAGACAGACAGACAGGTAGAGAGACAGAGAGAGAGAGAGAGAGAGAGAGAGACAGAGAGAGACAGAGAGCTTCGCCGGAAGCATGGGCAAGGGCAGCACTACATTCGCAAGCGGACAGAAACCCTTCAACCACGCCCGCACACAGAGAGCGACCACAAGACGCCGTCGGCGGCAGCGAGGGCGGACGACTCCAGCGACATGTGTCGAGAGACACAAACTCAAATATACCACAACCTCTTGGCGCGTCTAACGATCCCACGCGAGGTTTCAGCGCGGCTGGGCGTCTGCATTTCTTCTAAAGTCGCATGCCGTCCCCTACTAGAGTTGTTTCTTTGTGGCCGTTTTGCCTGGGGTTTGAGAGCCTCCTCGGTCGCGGAATCCATGATGTCCCCCTGTTCGCGCCCTCTCCTCTTGACTCCTTCCAGCACGGAAGCCGCCGTAGACACGACTCGAGGGAGAGCCTTTTTCAAGGCCGACGCGTAAAGCTGGGTTCGGAGCAGCTCCTGCAAGAAGAGCAAGGGGAACTAGACGTTAAGAAAAGGTGGTTCATGGATAAACAGGCATGTCGTGGGCAAGCAAAATCGTAGGCCAAAGAGTGGGTGCGCCACGACCTCTCTGTTGTTGGTGGCAGCTTCTTACAACTCCACTTAGTCTTTGCAAGTTCTGCCGGCTCTGCCCTTTTTATGATGTGCGATGTCTTCCGTCGGGAGGACAACCACGGATACATGCGTCACACCACTGGCACTGTGCACCATTCAAAAGGGTTGGACAGCCACTCAACAAAGGAAGGACGACCCCGGAACCTTGCTCGAAGTAGACGCTATTTAAAAGCCCCCGCGCAGTTCGGTGGCGCTACACACGCGCTCCGACTCATGCGTCCCCATCGTCAAAGGCACGCACTAAGTAGACACCATCGGCGATAAACAACCAAACAGAATAGCGTCTCAGTTTTGCAAAACCTGAAGCGAGGACGGCGCTCGTTGGCGCTCGTCTTCCGGCAGCCGGGAGAGCGCTATTCGTCGGAATTGCTCCGGCTCGACAAGCTTCGAGAACACGCCGTCCAAGTCGTGACGCGCGGGACCGTTGCCGAGCGACCCGTTCGATGAAGCAGCTAATACGCTCTCTCGTAGAGAGGAGAACAGCGCTTTCAAGCTCCCGGCTTCGCTCGCTTGCTGAAAGGGCTTGTGTGCAGAGTAGGCGTGCAGGTCCGAGCGGGCAAGGACAAGAACGGGAACTCGGAGTTTGAGTAGCGTGGAGGACAAGGATGGCTGTTTGAGACTGCCTCTGCCACGATGCCCTTGCTTGTGACGCAGTCTTTTGGCGGGGCGGCGGCAGGCCCCACACGTTCCAACGCAGGAAAACAAATCCATCGCAAACGAATACCAGAATCCAAAAAACACTACAGACAACACATCACCGGGCCTCGCGCGTGAAAAGAAAGTAATTACGTGTTCCTTCCAGGCTATCACCGCCAGTAGGCGGCCTTGCCGCAGGCGAGCTTGGACAGCTACGGGCAGCTAGTTTTAAGCAAAACGCATCGCAGCCTCAAGACGTGAACCAAAGCCATGACTCTGGGCAGCGCTCGCCTGGTCTTGAGTCCTGTTGTCGGGCGCTTCCTTGTCGTCGTACAGGCCGGCCCGACGTAAATCGATGCTTTTCGCGGCCTTCTTTGGCACTCCTCCCCCTCCTGTTGTTGCTGCTACTGCTCCCTTGCCAACCTGCTGCGTATGTCTGCGGCGGCTGCCAGTGATTCTTCTCTTCAATGCAGCCATCTCTTTGTTCGCTGCTGCCGTTCGCGAGCGGAAAAAGCGTCGGTTGTTGCACCAACACTCGAGGTTGGTAAGCGTTTGTTGGTTGGGAGGTGGGCTCGCTGCCTACATGCCGTGGGAGGGATGCGGCGGTAGGCTAGAGGACCAACGACGAATATCCTCGTGTACAGCAGGTGGACTACTACAACGGCAGGTAAGGCGACGATTTCAACCTTTGGAGATACCCACTGCTAGCCAAGCTACAGCTAATCGTTCACAAGTAGGGCCGGTTGCCCTCACGTCAGTGCACACTGTGCCAGACTGCCCAAAGGAAATGGATAGGATTTGCGCACCGGGATCGGCGCGCAGACCGTTTTCAATAGCCGATTCCGCCTCGGCTAACTCGTCCGATGCGATGAGCGCCTGTGCCAAGCGATAGAACCCTGCCGCCGCGAATGAATCAAGGGGACATGCGAGGCGCCAAGGTGAAACGCGATGCTGGTTAGTTAGCGGATCCATTCTGTGCGTATCTAACACTGCCGCCTGGACGTCTGCTGTCCCCGCGATACACGTGCATGCCCAGATATTTGTATAAGAACAGCGTGAGAAACGACCTCCATACTCGTGCCAATGCATGTTCAGGACCCTTGACAATACCCTGATCACATCCCACAGCAGTGTAGATGCCCACGCGCTCAAGAACTGCCCTAGATACCTTTCGTATATCCCGGCTCTAGCTCGACACTTCTCCTGGCGTCGGCGGCAGCCAGAGCCCAGGCGCCAAGACCACCGTGGGCTGCACTGTCGAAGGCACGACGCACATTCAGTGTTTCAGACTGGGAAGCTCTGGGGAGGGGGGGCTGCAGCAAGCGAGGACAGCACGTGACACATCTTAGGTCTCTACATAACTTCAGCGACAAGTCCATGCGGATATACCTGTCAGCAGAACATCAGCGGACTGCTGTGGTAACCAGAAGAGGAGGTCCAGTCTATCTGTCTCTGCATTTGATTGGCGTGAGGCACTCACCTCCTGTTGCCGTACAAGACGTGGTTCGACGCACTCAAGCTTATGGCCTGGCTGTAGCACTCAACGGCTTCTTTGTGTCGCTTGGCCATGAAGTGCTCGTTGCCGCGTCTGTTGTTGCGCGCACCGGCGGAACGGCGTGGTCTTGTTGGCATATAGTCTATACTGATGCAAGGCTTCGTGAAGCACGTGCGAACTTGGCTTCGAGGGGCTGTCTCTTTCTTTCTTACTTCTCTCTCTCTGCTGTGTTCAACTTGCTGCTGTCCCTCTCGATTGACTGCTGCACCGCTGTGAGCCTGAACATTTCATGTAGCAGTTGGGGTGTGGGATGTTCAGCGATATACCAGGTATTCCTGACGCAGAGCGAAGAGACTAAGGACACCACGACGACTTCTGTCGCTCGTGCGAAGATCAACTCACACAATATCAATGCCTCTATCGCTACAATCGGTGTTGGATGGCGGCTGCGCTACTGCTGTAGAGGTCAAGCAATCCCTGCTGCTCTGTGTGAGTGCGGAGGGTTTAAAGTACTCTCGCTGTACACAGCGATCAGATCCGATCCGTGATATTTGACAAAGAGAATACTCACTGCTTGATAGCTTCCGCATTCTTTTCGACTTGTGCAGGATTCGATGCGTCGGCTTCGGATAGGACCTCCATGCTAGAGGTGTCCAGCGCTATCCCGGTACGCCCAGGGCAATGGGCAATATGGGTTGGATCCGCCCGCTTTCGCAGGAGCTCCGTGGGTGGAATACCAATAACAAGAAACGGTAGAGTTGTGAATCGGTACGAAAAAACGATATATTTTACATCGGCTGCGCAGCAGCCGATATAACGATATTTTCTCCGATATATCGCCTACGGCGATATATCGGAGAAAATATCGGGCGAGCGCAGCGAGCCGTGATGGGGGCGAGCGAAGCGAGCCCCCCCATCGGCCCCCCCCGGCTGGTGAGGGGGCCTCGCCGGAGGCGCCGCCGGAGGCAGAAAATTTGGTGCATTTTCCTTTCATTTCCCGTCAAAATGGGCCCAAATGCGGCATCAAAAAGGGCTTGACTTCAGCTGCAAACATCGCACGGAATGTAGAAAAAAAAAAAAAAGATTAAGATTGATGTATTGTCGCGTATCCTCAGCAGTACCCTCCTTCGGTCTCTCCCTGTGTCTACTTCCCGGTTGGTTCTGGACATGGTGCTGTTGTCTGCTGTTTCTGCGCTGCTGTGCTGTGTGTGTGTGGCGTACAGGGGCTCCGTACTGCTGCGCATACCCTAAATTTGATTCACGGAGCCCCTAAGAAAACATCGGTCGGAACATCGGCACGAATTTTCGATACCGATATCGATATATATCGGACGATATATATCGTGTACATCGTTCCGATTCACAACTCTAAGAAACGGGGATACTCGGGTACTCGCACGAGGGGCATGAACGATTGAATCTCACGAGTGACGTCCGTGTGTTTGTCGGGGTACGATCCTTAAAAATCTCGAAGTAACCGGCTGACTCCAGGATTCGTCTGGTTCGCCTGACGATCAATTGTTCATCGCACGGAACACAACCAACGGCGCTTGAGACAGATTCTGCACCGGGGATTGTTGCTGCGTTGTTGTTGTTGTTGTTGTTGTTGTTTTGTCTTCACATTAACAAACCGTTCCGATCTTTCACTACCCAGTACCTTCGTATGTCCGTACTGATCCAACACTCGACGCGGTCTATTCCCGTGGTCGCAGGCTAAGTTACTCTAACAAGGTACACTCAAATTAAATGGCCCCGAGGGGCCCGGAAGTCAATAGAAATCAACGACAGATATTCTGAGGATGGCGTGGCCCCGACGCTCGCCAAAACAGTCGGGGCACCAAGGGGCACACACACTTACTTCTCCTACCTCCTGGTTTCTGCTTCGACTTCTCTGAACAACATGCTAACCTGTCAGGCACACCCCCTTAGGTGTCAAGACAGGGAACCCACGTCAAGACGGGGCCCTCTGTACGGCCTCCCGACCTCCCGATAACTATTACAGCAGAGGGGGAGGGGGGGGGGCGTACTCTTATGTTTTGCATGTCTTAGCGGTTAGACCATTGACCACGCGTCCTCGAGAGGACGGAGCATTGTTCCCACAGGACCGATCACCGATGGCCAATCGTTCCTAGAGGGGGGGTAGATCAATTGCAGCATATTGTGAAGGGTTACTTCGTCGGTCATCCAGTAGTACGTTTGTTCGTCATAATGCGTATGCTCCAGTTCTCCTCCTCGAGCCCTACATGACCCGTGTCCAGAGGCCCGCCAGCGTCACTACAGAAGGTACACAGGCACACGCACACGAACCGCATGAAGCACCCGTGCAAGCACACACAAAAACACACACGGCCAGCTGTACGATAGCCACGACGACGTGGTTGCACGATATTTTCATTTGGCCGGTCAGGCGGGGCACGATAGCGCCATCGATGATGCTCACCAACAAAAACCCCCACACAAAATAGCACCAAGCACGCTTGGTTAAAACTTGAAGGGCTTGTCCTGCCCCACGTCCTTGTGAGGCACCTCATCCACGGGGCCTTCATCCGGTATACTGATGGTGCCCTGGGCGATAGCATCTACCAGCCACTCCTGAGAGTCCTCCTGCGGGATCGCTTCTAGCACCTCTCCCTGAACGTCCCCCTCTACCTCCTCTATCAACTCCTCCAGGAAGTCGGGCGTTTGTGGCTCCACAGACGAGCGCTTTCCCTTGAAGAGATGCACCTTGGAGGTGATCTTTCCTTCTTGCCTGATTGCACAATGCAAGTTAACAGCGAAGAGGTCGGGAAAGAGGGAGGGAAGGCGGTGGGGGCGAGCTCAACTCTCCACACAGACCTTCAGCCGAAAACACCCGCAGTGCTGGTCCCTTGAACCCCCCCCGGACTATACATGATAGTCTGGCGCCTCTTGGGCTGCGAGCTTCATTGCAGGGGGGGGAAATATCATTGCTCGCCGATAGTCATCCGCAACAGTCTGGGTCAAGGGATGGAAAATTGAAGAGGGCGTGATATAAAAGCACTGCAAGTGCCTGCGATATTTTTCGCCGGTCTTGGAAGGCAACACTCACGTGAGCGAGCCCCCTTCCCACTCGTCGCGCTCGAACAGCTCCTGTATCCGCTCGGGGTCCCGATAGTCGGCCATCAAGTACACCCCTCCGGGCTTCAGCACACGGGCCACCTCGTAGGACACCTGGCCGCGGTAGTGGCAGTGCGGGCAAAAAAGCAGCAATCGCTTGACAAGGGCAGGGCAGACTCTGGTGACACCGGCGTTTGTGGATGAGAACTGCCGGACGAACTTTTTGCCTCGTCCGGAGAAAACAAGTATAGATGACAAATGTAACGGTCGGTCAACGTAAAATAGCTGATGCCACACAAAAAACAAAAAATCTCCTGCGCATGCTCCTGTGCAGCGTTCCGCCTGTGTCACCGACTGACACGTCAAACATGTACTTAACACCAAGAGGGGGTTGAATTGGAGCCAGAATAATGGGACGAACACACACACATAAGCAGCAGGAGGGGGGGGGGGGGCACACTCGGCGGGTCAACCCTGCTTCGCCCATGAGGGGGTGCCGTACTCTACCACGGGTCGAGACCACAGCCCGTCCACAACAATTTGTCTTCTATATCCAAGAGACCTATCAAGTTTGACGATGGTAGTTGTTCTACTGGTGAACAACGCGAACACCTGACACAAAAAAAACAGGTGGAATTTATGCGGTGTTTTCTTGTGTTTGCAGCGGCTTCGCCGCGAAGCACGTCGGAAAAGCCATTGGTTCACGGTTGATAGGGAAAATACGAATACATGAATAAAATAAAATAAAAAGTGCCATCATCTCGCGTGCAAGCCGAAATTGGCCATCGCCAGACATTAACTAGCTACAGCGAACGACCATTACCACGGGCATTCGACGCCTGAAAACTAACACCACCCACCGGTCATCGAGATAGTATTGCAATCGTTAGGGCGCCAGACCAGGTGAAACGCAAAACGAAAAAGGAACCAATTTGTTGTTTTTCTTTGTGGAAGAAACAAGGAAGAAAAGAACGCGTTCTAATCTGTCGCGTTGTTTTATTACCATAGCTCAGACTGATGTTTGATATCCTCCCGTGTGCATCATACACCATTTTTGTTGGCAGCGTCTGTAGACCTGAACGCTACCGTAGCAGCCCTTGTAGTGGCTGCTGAGGTAGCCGCCAAAGTAACTGCTGAGGGCAGTGTTCGGGTACAGATGATGCCGAAAAAAAATGTGTTGGATGCCTCAACGTAATGCGCGCGAGGACGTCAAACATTAGTCTCAGTGAGGCAAGAGACATGACAAGTATCGATTTGAAGTACCCGACATGTCGTTGGTGGGCATGGCCGTATAACTAGCTGTGCAGGGCAGCGCCACTTAAGGCTTTGGGTTCACAAAAGCAAGAAAAGACAGCCGTTTCGCCTTGCTGGAATCAAGATCGCGATCCTACGCCACAGATCTCCACAAAAGTGCTGTCGAGTGACCACCCACCCACCTTTGCCATCATGACGGAGAACTTATCGTTGTACATGACGGAGTCAGTGAGACCCTTGTCGATCACAGCATCGAAAGAGCCCGTCTCGAGCTCCGCCATATCTCTGGCGTCCATCACCTTGTTTGAAACCGTACGGAAACACTATCAAGTGTTGTCTGATGGGGCATATTGCAGCAAAAGGTGTGGCGTGAAATCCTGTCAGGTCTGAACAATACCTGAAGTCTAGTCTCCTCGGTTGAATCAGTGTAGCTCATTCGGCCAGATAGAAACATGAAATACGTACCATACAGCAGTAATTACCAATATCCAGGATTGTTGGTAGTCATATTCTCAGACAGCATGCCGAGCACGGCTGTGAGCAGTCTCCGGCCGACGACAAATGAGTCACATATTACTTCTCTTCTGGTGTGATGCGAAAAAAACACCATTCGGAGGGACTAGATATTAAATACCAGCGCGTGAGGGCACTGCTGTGCATGACATCATCATGCAACAAGCGAGATGCACACCCACGTCTCGTGTGCTCGGGGGGGTTACGGCGGCACTTGCACAGGATAAAACCGTACCATACAACGCAGAAACATGGAGACGTTCCAACAAAAAAAGAGCACCTTCCACTCCATCCCGGGCTTGTCGGCATGCGCCGATTGCATAGCCTCGATCACGGGGTTGCAGAAGTCGATGCTCACAATGTCTCTGCCGCCAACAAAAACAGAAAAAGAGGGTTGGGCATGAGAGAGCGCAAAGAGATGTGGTGGTTCTGACGTTAGCGAAAGGAGCGGAAGCCAACGGAGCTTCGACTTGAGATTTCCTGACAAAGCCGGTTTGATTCCCGACTACTGATGCCTACAATAGTCGCACATTTGCTTGTTCATTGGCCGGCCGCATTTGTTGTTTAGCCAGTGGATCCAGATACACGTGCCTGACGTGACTTCGCGCCGAGGAATGCCACCCCCACCCCGAGTTTGGCGACCGGACAACCCAGCTCTTCAGAGTACATGTGTACGTGTAGAAGCGATGCTTCCGAATCTTGTTTTGGGCTTGCCGGCTCTGGTTTTCACCACGCGCTGAACATTTCTTGATGCGTACACTTGTGAGAAAAAAGAATACCAAGGGAACATGTCAAGCCACAATACAGCTCTCACTTCCATCCGTTCTCCCACATCTTGGGCGACACCTCCGAGTTGCCGCACCCCAGCACCAACACGCGGCCCGCCCTCGCCCCGCCGACGTGAAGGTTCAAGTAAACCGCCAGCCTCGAGTAGCCGAAGAACCAGTCGTACGACTCTCCGTCCTTAAGGCTTCCAGCCTCTCCCCTACCGTTGATACCGCGCGTGACGCATGGGCGAACGCATGAACCACCGCAGCACACACGCACACGAAAGGCAGGAGAAAATTCAAGGGAATAGGGAGCGAATAGGATAAGCATCCCATTCAAAAGACAGGCCTGACCGCAAGTTTGTCTCGCACAGAGCCAAGGTTTTGAAAGCATGCAGCCAGAGAAAATCACGACACCTCGAAATGTGCTTGACTACAGACGCCATCTGAGTACTCCAGAGAGACTACAACACGCGAGGGGGTTGACGGCGACATTAGAGGCAAAATAACCTTGAGGTGTGAGATAAGATGGCACGGTGTGGCCGGACTCCTGCATGTAGACACGGCGCATCTAGACAGCAATGTGCTGAGGGAAGCTGAGAGGCCGAGCCACTCTCCGGGAAAACGACATTCAACACTTGAACCGGTTTGGGCTATATGCACGAGCGGCAGAGTGGAGGTTGTGTCCTCCGTACACGTAGCTGATCTTTTTCCGATTTAGATGCAACAGCTTGTCTTCCACTCTTTTTTTTTTCAAACAACCAAAACCGACAACCAAAAGACACGGCAATCGCCTCCGTAGGACGATAAGCCTAGGGGGCAAGGCACGATCATGGCCGTAGGGATGTGGCGCAACCTGCAGGATAACTAATGTGACGTAGGCATTGTATCACCGAAACCCTGTCAGCTGAATACAAGCACGTACCGCTAGTCTGGTGTCAGGAGTACAACGACTTGCATACTGTATGCAACTTGTTTGCGAGAGGTCATAAGCAGCTAGCCGTATGGAATGTACATAGCGAGGCACTGCACAGGAGTACACTGGCTGTTGCCGGCATCAAGTTACAACACGGAGAAGTAGGTGATGCTGTACGCCGGGCAGCTCGACGAATTGTTTCTGCAACCTACAGCAGTAGTACGTACCGCAGTTGCGCTGCACTCGTGGACTGTGACAAGTTTCAGGTGCGCGTACATACGCATCAACTTCAACACCACGAAGACTACACATGGGCAAAGACCATTAGACTACTGCTGTAGCTGCAAAATTAAGGCTTCAAAGACGCGCAAACTCAGGATGCAACGGAGTCAGGAACACCTCAGATTGAAACAAACCCTGCGCTCCAACCACTGCTATCAAAATATTTGAACGGGCAGTCCTTCCTCCTCCTCACCCGGCGTAAAATTCGTCCCAATACTCAGCATATGAATAGGCCTCTCGATGCCTGATGATGTCGATCTCCTTTCCATCGGGTCCGAGGGCACTCCGTCTCGAGTCTCGTCGGGGGCGGCAGTAATCGTGCGCCGAAGAGGCGGGCGAACCTCTAACAGTTGGCAAGCCATTGCAGCCTCGTTTTCGAAGCGTACCGCGGTTCGTGGGGCCTGACGACGGAAGGATGAATCCCCCAACGCACGACACGGCCGCCAACAACGCAGGAACGCAAAGCCGTGAGCCTGGGGCCATGGTAGGTGGTTGTGAAAAATGCCACGCGCGGTGAGATGACACACTGATCGTTAGTCGTCCGGAGGGGGGGATAATGACGCGTCCCCTGTACCAGAACGCTATCAAATACTGAACACCACAGTCTCCCATGCTACGTGCTGTGTAGCACGCAGCACAGCCACCGGCAGCCGGGTAGGAGCTGCACGCACGCTTCAGCGTAGTTTCTAGGCGATCAGCGGATGCGAAAAGAGAACACAGTCTGTAAAAGGTATGTTATGGACACAACCATGATTGAAAATGCCTCCCGGAACAATCGTATATTCGCCCCGCTGGGGTGCTGCTCGAGTCGCTGCTGTATATCTTTGAGTCTATATCTTTTGTGCGACGGTGTACTGCTGTAGACTCGAAGATATTACTTCACAAAAAGCGCTGCATTCGGCAATACGCAGGTGACCACAAAGGGGAACGGAAGCCTAGGCCTAACAAGAAGTCGCAGCACACCGCCACGAGCCGAACTGGCAGCAGCAAGCAGTCGTTTCGGATCGCAAAGAACATAAGGTGGGTGATGCTGGAGCGGTGGGAGAATCAACCAGCAGCACCTTGTTGTCGTGGCAACCTTGTGGGCAAATGATTTGTTGTTCGTGGCCCCTGTTGAGAAGCACAATGACCACTACACTACTAGTCGCAGCACAATGGAGTGCAGCGACTAGTTTTCTAGTGGTCATTGCGCTTCTCAACAGCCCCAACAAGCCAATCGCAAGGACAGCTACGGTGCCTCTTCTAGGTTATAACTTTTGTTTCCTCATTGCCTGCTTGCGTTACACCAGATCTCTGCCTGGTATGTAACTCCCCTACCCTGCTTCTCGCACAGAGATGCCACAGGAGCACTTAGCTCCGGTTGCGGAGGCGAAGGAGACGCGCGTTTCGGAGAATGAGAAGTCTCTTGGCGCCCCGCTCCGACTCATGACTCAGTTCTTGAGGGCAGTGTCCGAGAACCGGATGGAGCAAGCTCTGGCACTTGCACAAACAAGTACGTGAAAACTGCAGAATACGCGCAGACCTACGCACCTACGCACCTCTGCTACCTACCGTATATTTCGCAAGCATACATCAAGGAACATCATGCGGTGTGTGACGCTAACTACTGTACACTACAGTACTAGATCGGGAGGTGGAATAGTTTTTTGTTGAAAAACGTACCTGCAGTAGGCTCGTGCGTTGCTACCATTGGCCCGTTTACTACACAGCAGTATTACAATATATATTGATTGAGGTGTGGGGGGCACCAATCAATATGACTCCGGGGGGGAGGGAGGGGTGTGGTATAATAAAAAATAGGGCTAGCAGCTATAAAAACAAATGTCTCTGCTATTGTGCTTCGCTTGTTGGTTCGAGCTTTGATCGAGAAACCTCACAAGCGTTCAAGCGTGTGATGGGTAACCAGCCTAGCACGGGAGCCACTGGTCGCACACTAGGCCTTTGCGCACAAAGTGTAGAGAGGCGTACAGCAGTACATGTCGCACCAATAGTGGTGCGTAGCAGCGTCTGTGTGTTGTTGGTGTCATGTGCCCCTCTCCGCGGAAAGAGAGAGAGAGAGGCCGCTGCTGCTGCTGCTGCTGCTGCTGCTGCTGCTGCTGCAACCAAATCTTGATCTTTCTTCTCGCTTCCTCCGCCGATAGCTAACAGCAGCAGTGTATGGCACACCCTTCTCCCGCCGTCTCGCCGTCGCTGTGGTCTTTGTGTCTCCCTCTCCCTGTTTGTCCATGTCTGGCTCTGTGTGTGTGGTGTGTGGTGTGCGAGGCTATCTGTCTTGGTTCAAAATCAAACGACGCCTCCTCTCGGTGTTGCAAGGGGCCAGAAACTTCCCTGCTTCAAGTTGGGTACCGACGCTGCACTATCTCGACGCACCGAGCACGTATTGAAAAGGTAGCAGTTGGGGCGGCTCGGGCAAAATATTACTTGTTGTGAACACGTCTTAGATTGAAATTTGGTGCCGAGATGGTGAAATGGGCTGGAATCTGCTGGGTAACATATCGACGCTGGTCACAGACAGACAGACAGACTTACTTGAGCCCGTTTTGCCCCCCCTCTAAACAGCTTTTTTTTTGAAACAAAAAGCGTCCCTATCGGGCCAGTCTCTTCAAAAAAAAACTTTTACAATATGGTACGCGCGGTGTTTCGCAATGATCAAAGATAAGTTTTGGTACTCGGAGTAACCATGAATTGCGAGGGTTACGAGATATCATGGTTAGTATGTGCACAAAACCTAAATAAATAGTCTTGACAGAATTGATTGCGATAGCCCAACCAAACACTTAGACGACAATGAACGTCGTTGCTCGGGGTTGACCCCCTATTAGTGTACGCCGTTGTAAAGTTCGAGCACACGTTTGGACAAGTCCAAGTAATACCTACGGCGTTGTGGCTATTTTATTTTTATTTTTTTGTCCCATCATTGGACACTGTCGTCTGCCCCGCTGGCCCCTATCCTCCACTTCTACCGGCTAGACGACCCAATCGGGGTCACATAGGAGGGGGGGGTTGGACCCCCTCCTGCGGTTCCTGCCTGAGATATTTTTATCGCGAGAAGGGTACAGCAATCCCTTCCCTCGCGACTTATAAAGTCGATCAAGTTTACTAACAACGAGCTGTGGCTATGTACACCGGTGGTTCACTTTGCACGCGAAAGCAGTTTTGAAGTTCGAGCCTCGCAATGCCATCATCTTGGACTACCAGGCTACGCTGGCACAGTACATCAACAACGGTGAGGCCCGGTAAGCCGTAGTTTACTGGTTTTGACGCCTCTGCACCTCCCTGTTCGTACTCCTCGACAGGCGAACCCCCGCGTAACGCGGGAAGGCTCGTAGATCGGGCGAGCGAGCCACCCAAGCCGACTGTTATTATTCTGAGCATCCCGCTGCTAGCTTGGCCCATGCATCATATGCTACTTGCGGTGGTACGCAGCTCAGACGCGTTTCCTTCCCTGTCCTTCGCTCGACGTCCAAGAACGCGAACTTGCGTCTGTTCGAGAAGAGGATGCGGATGATGATGACGATGACAATGGCGATGACAATGACGACGGAGGAAGTGGCGATGAGGCCGGTAACGCAGCAGACGTGTCATCTTCAACTGCGACGGGTTCTGATGGTGGGCAATCCGAGAAAAAATGCACGATATCCAGAGATACATACCCTAAGTCCCACGTAGCAGCTCTGTACATGGATATTGAAGGTCTCACTGTTTTTTTTGCCGACTACGATTGATTTGACATACACGCTCAAGTGACACGATCGATAAACCAACACAGAATCGCCTAGCCACCTATACCATAGCCAGCCGTGGGAGTCGAATGCAACGTGTGTGCTCGCCGTTCGCGAGAGCATGTGCGCTGAGGGGACGAGTTTCACTGATAGTTTTGTGATGCAGGTCCTCAATGGTTGTCTCACCTGGTCACAGCTGGCTCTAGTCGTTATTTGACACGATCCTTTACCTCTCTCGTTCTGATGCATCACGTAGACGGGTCCACTGAGGAAGCTAGCGCTGAAGAGATATCAGGAGAAGACAAAGACGTAGCCGGGGCTCCTCGCGGCGATGCACCCTGCCAAGTTGCTCAGAAGGTTTCGTGGTGTTTTTCAAAGGAAAAACTGAACGTACAGTCGTACTCAAGGACAAACATGAAACCACGCTTGTGTATTGGGTGACGTTCAGGCGTACGTACATGGAGATCACCCAGTAGGGCGGTTCAGAATCTTCACCAACAACGCAAGCTGTGTGCACAGCGCAGGGGCACGAAAAACAAAACTCAGACACTCCTAGGATGAACATGTGAAACAAAACAGTGGCAGCATTCCCACGTAGTATGCATAGCTGGAATCACGACATCTGACCCCCACGGACTAAAAACCTACGCACTGGATGGAACATGGTTCGCTCAGGATAATGATATTGGTCTGGTGCTGGAGTGTGATGAAACCAGGCGCCATCTGCGTGTTTTGGCCCAACAGGCATCACGACAAGGATCTGTGCATGACAAACAAGAGTTGCAGCGACTTGGCGGCGTTCTCCGTGACTTGAGGAAGACGAGGGAGGCCAGAAGCCAGGAAATTGAGTCTCGGTGGGACGAAGATAAGTTCGCTGCCAGCCAAAGGTACGATCATCATTCCGGGAAAAAAGTGTACTAGGTACAAGAATGTTCACACATCACATGGGCAACGCACGGTTCGTGGAGCAGGCAAAGTTTGGTTCCAGTCGTATCGTCTAGCCGTTGTGTATGCTGGATTGCCGCGTCAGCACGAACGACTGCAACATTTTGTCCCAAACACGTTGTCCTCCCTGCATAAAAATACTCATGCCGAATAGACCTCAAGAAGTGGGCTTTTGCGACTTGTCGCTGGAGGTTTTGGATTAAAAAGAACTGCTGTAGCCAACTTGGCTCATGACCACGGAAGGCGTCGCCGCCAGTTGGGTGTTATTAGGTGATGAGCAGAGACCGGAACGGCTATTATTAAAGTGAGGACGACAGCAACAACAAGAGCATGTACGTTGGGTAAGTAGCCGAGATGGCGAAATCATTGCGTGCTTTGCATATTCTCGGCATTGTCAGGACCACGCAGCCCGCGAGGAAAGAAGTGGAAGCGTTTTCCAATGTCGCTGTCGCGTGTTGGTTGTATGACGGACAATGCGGCGTGTTCCCGATCGTCACACATCATACACACCGGTCGCCCCGGTGGTCTAGTGGGTAGCCTCGCAGCCTGCTAAGGGCCAGGTCATGGGTTCGAGTCCCGGCAGAGAGAGTTTTTTTCTCGCGAAATAAATCCTGGTCTAGGATGAAAGCGACGCGCTGCAAAGCTCGTTTGTTGGTAAACCATAATCGACTTCGTAAGTCGCGAGGGAAGGGATTGCTGTACTCTTCTCGCGATAAAAATATCTCAGGCATGAACCGCAGGAGGGGGTCCAACCCCCCCTCCTATGTGACCCCGGTTGGGTCGTCTAGCTGGTAGAAGTGGAGGATAGGGGCCAGAGGGGCTGACGGCAGAGTCCAATGATGGGAGAGAAACAAATAACAAACAAACAACATCGAGATAAAACCGTTCGCCCGCACACTGCAACCTCTGGGCTAAACCTGGAGTGTTGTCAAACCCGTTAGACTAGTACTATTGCTTCGATATCCGGGCGCCGCCGTCCTCTACCCATCCGTGGGTTAGTTCTCCCTAGGGACTCCTTGACGTACCGTGTGTTTCCCGCTTCGTGTGCGAATCTCCCCCCCAGGGAAGTGGAAGCAGTACTTCGGAAATTTCTCCCGGATGCAGCGAGGCAGGCAGCTGAGAAGCGGGCAGCAGACGGCGCACCGGACCAACGCCACAGCGAGACCGCGAAGTAGCCGAGAGTATTGCCTCTCTCTCTCTCTCTCCTCGAACAAACGGGACGATGGCTGCCTACACAGAACGACGCGTCTGAGCTGTGCTGCTCGCTATGAAGCATACCACGAGGGAGCGGTATTCAACAAGGAACTGCATGCATGCATGAACATCAGCCGCGCTCGATGGAGGACGGGATCGATAAAAGACCGGAAGGGAGAAGAGGCGTCTTGGCATGTAGTTTGGCACCGAATCGATGGAAGGTCAGCCAGAAAAGACTCGGCGGTGTCAAGACCTTCACCTTCATTGTGTGTGTGTTTTCGTTCTATTTATTGTGGCGACAGTCCCCCCATTTTTGTGGTGAGACGTGTACTACGCTGTTCAGTGTATGCGTATGTAGAGCAATACTGCTGTCCGTAAATATACTCTCTGTATTTGTTCGTACAACCTCAACCATCCAGGGGCACACAGGAGGGGAATAACACCAGGGCCCTTCTCTTTATTTTTTGTTGTGCCCTGCCTTCCAGCGGTGCGTGCTGAATTTTTTTTCATCGCGAGAGGGGTCCAGCCGTCCCCTTCCCTCACCAGCGGTGCTGGACGTCGAAGTTTTTGGTACTCACGAGAGCCTTTTCAGCTGCATTTCGCTTTCACCCGCAATTTTTTGTAATCTTTTAAGCCCATGCGAATTCGAACTCACATCCTTTCCGACTAGCAGTTTTCGAGGATACCACTATATATAGTAGACCACCGGGGCGACCGACCGTGTAGACCTTTCAATTTACGTGTCACAACACCACACCACATATCATGTCTGGTCGCGGAGCTTAATGTCAATACACCGTCGTCGTGGTGACAAGAAGAGCATCCGTTACCCAGGAGGAACACCAGCGCGGCTCGACTTGACGCCCGGCAAAAAATAAACGCCATATTGGCGTTGGCTGCGCGGGCGTTGAGCAGATTTAAAGGTTTCCCGAGGCAAAAATATGCGTCTGCTCCGTCACATGTGAAAACTGTCCGAAATCAGTGAACACCTGTTCCCGAGACTTGAAGACAAACGCGACTCTTTCGTGCGATTCCTTTGATCAGCACGTCGACTTTTTACTATTTCCATTCAGCGAGGCCACCCGCGCAAAACATCGTCCGTGTTAAAAACGCTATACTGTGTCGCAGACGTACGTGTGGGATGCTCAACGTTCGGCTCAACCCAGCAGAAAAAAAGTTGGACCAAATGGCGGGTAACTCCTGGCGCCACGCGATCGCGCGCATCAAATAACAAGTACAACAAGAGAGCCTGGTCATTAGACTGATACGCATCTCTACGCCTTTTAGCTACCGGTCAACGGAGTATTAACTGACCCTACAGCGAGTGGCTAATCGTTTGATGAACGGGCACCAACCCACACTACGAATGACAACCCAACACCCAAGGAGCCCCGAAAACACATTCCCAACGCAACCGTTCCAACCGGACTCGCCCCCAACGACCGCCGTCGCAACATACACTGCCTACCCCCTCCTTTTTTCTTCTTCCGCAACATTCCTTCCAAAACAAAATGTAAACCCTGTGTTTTCAACTTCCGAAAAGCGCAAGGACTCCCATATTTGCCCACCTGGGTTCGCCGTACAAGCCTCCACATTTTGCGCCCAGCCCCCATCCCTTACTTCCTCTTCCGGGCAAGAATCAAAACCAAACACAACCTACCGAAACACATTTTGGTTTTGACATCCATCGCCGGGCCGGCAACACATTTCGACACTTGTTTTTCGACACACTTGCGGCTCCACCACCGCGAGATACATTAACAATAGCATTCATGCAACCGTCGTAGGATCCCCTACAACGAGGAGGCAAAGAGCGTCGACCAATCATAAGGGCAAAGTGCGAAATACAATTGTAAGCCCTTCGTGTCGATTGAACAACTCGTGCCTGCCGGCTTTCGTAACATTACCAACTCTCTGATCAAGTTCTAAGCGCCCCCCCTGCTTTTCTCTTGATCAACCATCTAATGTCCAACTACGTCTAGGAGGAAAGCACCCATATATCTGCGTGATATCCTTTGGGCTTTCATCCTATTGAGAGGAGGCGTTCCCTCGGCTCTGCTATAATGATATCTTTCGGCCACGCTTCGACTCGTGAGCCTCGTGCGAAAAATTAAATAGGAACAATATACTTCGGCTCGGGAGTGGACGCGTGTCACGTTCGCGACACCCCCTTACACTGCTGTCTCCACAGCGCGCTACGAACTGCAAGCTCGCCCGCAACACCCCTAGGGCGTTTTCGGCGCTCTTTTTTAACCCCTCCTAGAATCGGGACGCGCACACGAGCTACAGTTCTCACTCGCAGCCGAATTACCTTCTCGGAGACACCACCGTAGGGCCGTAAGGGAAACAAGTACCTGCTGGGGCAAAAGCGGAAACGAGGAATCATTTGCCTGCTCCCCAGAAGCCCCCACACGGCCTCCCTACATCACCAAGATTGGTAGATGTGCGGCCGAAAACACCAGTCTCATCAAACAGCTATCAAAACAGCATAATTACTTCTATGTACAACCCCTGGACGCGAGCCTGCTAAATCACGACCCAAGCACGTGAAATAACGACCTTCCCCGTGCGCCTTGCGATAAGGGACCAAACCGGGACACCACCAGCATCACCCTACTAATGTATAACATAACCATTTGGATGTGTGCGCTGACGCCAGCTAGCCCGCCAGCCAGCCAGTTCGCACGCCGCGCGAAACGCGGGAATTAAGCGTAAAGCGTACGCCCCTTGACCACCCCAAGCTTGTAAACCAGGAACCCTCTGCTAACCTGCTGTGTCTTGCACCCACCACGCAAAAATGCAAGAAACTTGACGAAACACGAAAGTTAAAAAAAAATCGTGTTTACTATAGACAGCACGCAACCAAGAGAGCAACAAAAGAAAACTTGTACAAAATAATCGCCTGTCCATCGCCAACTCGCCCTTCGAATGGTCGCGTACGGGGGATTCAGGGGCGGTGGGAGGAGGCCATCTACATCAACGCAATTCAAAGTGTGATCAAAAACGAAACACTCCAGCGGTGAGGGGTGGGGGGGTGGGGGGGCTCCGTGAGACAAGACGGGAGGTGCTGCGTGCTTCTCCCGCCGCCATAAGAAGGCAAGGCGATTCCGGCCGTCGGGGCAACCAAACAACAATCCGGCGATATCGCGTTCCTCTCCCACCCGTGCGGTAGCGCTCGAGTGCCTTCCCCGGCAAGGAATCCGTGAGAGCCTGGCCTAGCAGCCAGCAACCGGCCGTGCGTTGTGGTTGCACTTGCTGCGATCGGGAGCAGAGGGGAAGACAGTCGTCGGGAGGAGCGAGGTTGAGGATATGCGCCAGCTGGTGTGTTGGACAAATATTGCTGCTGCTGTTCAACCCTTTGAACCAGCTGGTGGAGGCACCCTGTTGAAATTGAAAACACTCAACAAGCAACGGTATAAACAGTGAGCAGCCCGACATAGTGCCATCAATATCTCTTCGTTACACTCCCAACCCGACAGACTGGCATTGTGTCACTTAAGAGAACGGGAACGGGGCCCTGAACAGTGTTCTTACGGGAATCTCACCCCCCCCAAAGTGGCAATCGATACTCTGCCCCCCAAACCTCCTGCGCACTGCGCAGCCACACACACCACAGCCAACATTTTGGGTACAGTGTAGTTGTGCCGGCGAGAAAGAGGGTGGTCGTGGCATGGAAGGTACATGTTGTTGTATCGAAGAAGGAAAGGGACGGAAAAAACAAAAGAGAGGGATGGAACCAATTTACGGAGCAAGCGCTTGAGCAAGAACACTTGCTCACTGTAAACTGCTTCTATATTACTCCTACAACCACAGAAAGACTTGTACCAGTTCGAGATAATACTCAGTATTAGAATACTGTAAATCGACGGGGATGCATTGACCAAAGTCTCGGGGAGAACGAAATGAAGTACAGGAACAAAATATGCCACGCCTGGCAGAAAGTCCGGGGGCACCCCATCTATTTGGATCTCTTCCACCATCGAAGCAGCGGCAAAACGCTTCTGAACGACGAATGTGATAAGGTTTAAGTAGGTTTAAGTATTCTACAAACAACATGACACCATGACCGACTTGGGCAGCCATTTGTAAGAATTCGGGCCCTTGCTCGGCCGGTCCGTTGCCAATGTTTTTTATTTTAAATAACCCCCAAAATACGGATAGCTGTGGGAGGTGGGAGAGACTCAACGATATTCAACGACGCGCTCGGGGTAAACCAACACGTAGACATGAGTTCAGCAACATAAATCGCACTTTGTTGGCTCGATGCTAGAGTCAGTCGCGTGTGTCGAAAAACGTATATGCATACTCCTGTGTGGCAAGCGCTTCAACAGCATCAATTTCTTCTTGTCGAAAACACAACAAGCAATGAAGTCGAATCCATCCATTTGAAATGCAGATGATGTTGTAACCATGTCTCGTCCGGCAGAAAATGGTACGCTGTTACTCAAGTTCCACGGTGCTTGAAAGGTCGTCTCAGGCTTCGGTCACCTACCGCAGTCTGAGAAAACAGACTTGCGTGGCGTTCGTTGCGATCGGTATGCACACACGTGGGAAACACCATGAGGAAAACAGGGGACCACAAAAAACTGTGTCCTCTCCTCGAGGCAGGGGCTGCACAAAAAACAAAAAAACAGCAAGTGACCCGTACCAAGTAACCATCCGTCACCCCAGAAAATAATTTCCGTACAGCAGTAGTACAATTGAAGTTGGAGGCCAAGCAAGGCATGTTAACATTGATCGACCCATGCAGCAAGCCACCGCAGACAATAGTCAGCAGACAATTAATCCTGTGACAATTGTTTGCATAGCATGCATGAAAGACATGAAAGCCCGTGGGCAACACCAAAGGCCATACCCCGCATGACCACTCTGCCCGGCTGCCCTGTGCGAGGGTGTAGCCTTTTCTCGAAAAGTATAAAGAGACGAAATTGTTCAGGGAACGGCTGGAACGGCTTCCGAAAATTCGAAATTAAGGAGGGTGTCCCGCCCGCCATGGCCAAGCACCAAAGGAGAGCCATCGACACGGCGCCAAACTACACAACGCCGCGCTAATCACCTCTCACCTCGTGCTCCTCTCTCGTACAATAGCTGCTACTTTTGATCAAAGAGCAGGTTCAAGTTATCGTGAGGCTCTCAATCGTAATACATGCGATATATCATACCCCCCCCACGCACGCACGTTCGAACGCCCTTGACGCGAATACACAACATGCGCCCAACTTGCCACGAATATATAGATACATGTGGTGTTCGTAAAACAACCCCCCGTCGACAAAACGGCTCTCTTCTCTCACCGCAATGAAGCCTAGTTAGCGGCCGCTGCTTGCCGGTCTCATGAAGGGGCTCCCGCCCGAGCCGAAAACTCTGCACACCAGGTTGCGCCGCTGACCACCGTCTCCGACCCTGTCCGAGAGCTCGCAGGACTGGATAATCCTTCCCGAGGATGACAAGACCGGTGACGTCGACATTACCTCGCTGCCGGCGATCGTGAGCGCTCCAACCGTGCTCGCGCGTCGCAGGGACGGTACCGTAGGCCCTGCCGCCGACCCCGACGCCGTTGCCGTGAAGTGGTCGTCCTCACTGAAGAGCAACGCGGACGTGGAGTTGAGGTGGTGGGGCGAGCCCATCGCGACCACGGCTGGGGTGTGGTCCACAACGTATTTCTCTGCCACGCTCCGGTCGCGCATGGTGATGCGCAGGTCCTTCAATCGTTGGGCCTGCGCGCTGGCCGTGCGGTCCATCGTAGGCTCGAGCACGCCGCCGCTGTAGCTCCCGGGTGCAGTTGGCATCATCGAGGGGGAGGGCGCGGGCGCGGCCTGCTGCTGAGAAGAACCGCCGCCGACGACACCGCTGCTGGTTGCCCGGCGCCGACCCGAGTTAGACATGAACACGGAAATACGAGGGGGGCGCACGGTGCCAGACGTCACATTCGTATTGACCTTTATCGCTCCACCTGGCGGCGACGCCACTCCCCCCTGCTGCGGCGGCTGACTAGACCCCACATGTCTTGCCACGCCTGGCTGTTGATGCGATACCGCGGGCGCCCAGCCCGCGCTGGCTGTGGTGACGCAAAAGCTGTGGCTTTTCTCCAACCCTTGTTGCTGTGACGATGTTGGCGGTGGACTTGGGTTCATCGAAATGGATGCCGTCGATGACCGGCGCTAGTAACAAAGCGAGCACAGCACATAGTAGGCCAAATAACGCATGGGAACACGAATAGAGGAGTACCCGGATGAGCAGGTGGTCCATGAGGAAACAAGCTTGGCCAGGGAGGAGATATCATCCGTTGCACAAAAAGAAACTTGGAACATGTACAACAAGCTGGACAGGGCAAGGACTTGAGCAAAACAGCGGGAAAAAACATCCATCACGCACACCGCAACGTGGCGCCCGAACTCAGAGCTTTTTTAGGGCTCGCCTTCACCCGACGCAGGTACCGCAGAAACGCATACCAAACAGCTTCAACGTATGATGGGCGTAACCACATACCTTCATCACAGGGAAGACCGACTCCTTAGACACGAGCGCCTCATCCTCATCGTGCCTCTTCCGAGCCTTGGGCTTGCCCCCGATCGGCAAGAGCAGGTTTGGGTTCACGCATTGTGTGGGTTCACTTGAAATTGTTGGAGGCCACGCCTGAATCGGGAGGTGCTGTTGCTCGCCAGGAACCCAGCTCTCCTGCCCGAAGTCGGACACCTTCGGCTGGTGGGCGAACATGCTGGCCGGTGATGGCGGCCCCTGGAACGCCGAGTTGGTGATGGCCATGCCCTGCTGGTGCTGCTGCTGTTGGGTGTCCTCGATTTCGCAGAACTTGAAAAAATCGCTCGTGCTGTTGGGCTCGGCAAACATGGCGTCAAAACCTTCGAACCCGCCAAGGTCGTCCCCGAGGCCCATGCCAATATCCACGTCCATCCCTTTAATCAGCTGCGAAGGCTCCGTTTCCATGCTCTCTCGCTCGCTTGTCCTACAGCCCGCCGATTCGGTGTCGCGTCGGGGTGATGGGGAAAGTGACAATGGCGCTGTTTGTATCTGTGTCGGGTTGTTGAGGCTGCAACTGCACTTGGTTGTTTACAGCAAGGGGGATACGCGAACTGGCGTTTTTCCCAGTTTATTGCTGGCTCCCAGAGTGCGTTCACAACATAGAAGTAGTTTTCTCCAGAAATCCGGAAACAAACGCAGAACTCTGCGGTGCGGCTGGTGATTGGCCAACGGATTTCCTGATTATGAAACGTCCGGCCAGCTAGCGGCTGGTCCGACATTTTTCGAGATCGCCAGATCCCAAAACCACGATGGTCCCCACGACGCCCCGCAGTGAATAGAACAGGGCAGTCATCAGTAGTACATGAAGTGTGCCAGCAAGAGTTGGCTGCCGCCATCATCAGGCAGGATGGATTCGACCTCGATCGAGATGCATCATGCAAATGGGAGATGGGAGCGTCTAGATGATGATAAGAACACGAATAGTCTAGACCTGCCACCGCACAGACAGCGCCGTCCAATGTTTCTCGTCCTGTGTCATTCCGATAATCGCAGTATCCAAAGCAGTAAGAGTTCTCTTGCCTTCCCAACGTGCGTATAACCTGTGCATCCCCTGTTCCCATGTTCTCTGTCGAAGAAGAGCAGGTTGTAAAGTAAAAGTCCTGGTCGGTAGGATGGGCGGTAACGCGATTCTTTACACCACACCGTCCGCCGAACCATGGACGGCAAGAAAAACGCAACAAGGACTCTGTACAGTGGTCGTAAATGAGAATAGTCTAATCTACATCACCAGCTAGGATGCAGCAGACGGTAGTTGGGGGGGGTCGGCGACCAATACTCAATACTTCGAAGTATATCTCTTTGCGTGTGCCATCGCATGAAGCATGGAGCATATAGATCGCCTATGCGCTGAGACGAGTGTAGAGTACAACGGTTTTTTTGGCACCGCATCGATCAGTAACGGACGCCCTCACTTGAGGACGGATGGATGGATGCTCGATAACACGCTCGGCGATACATGTTGTATGTACATATGCATAGGTGCGGAGCTTGTTCCCACAGGAGGACCGATCACCGATGGCCGGTCGTTCCTTTGTACTTTCTTTGCCAATGGTGTCTCAAAACTTCTTTCTCTGCAGCATCATCGGTATTCGTAGTCCATCTATCCTATCGATACGACTTCTCGCCTTGTCAACCTACTTCCTATGCCTGCCCCTGGACAGCTACCGCCTGCTCCCGGCCATTCCATGCCTCAAACATCTCCCTGTAGTATAATCCCCTCCCTTGTGATTTTCCCACCTCAGCCATGTGTAATTCCGTCCTTTCCTCTCATTCTTGCACAACGGACATCCCGCAACTACATGAAAATGAACCCGACCTTCGCACTCGGAGCCGCAATGATATATATTTCAACTTACTTGTCGTCTTCATCGTCTACCTTCCTAATCTTCGTCTACCGTCTCGAAGGCCAATGTCCCCGGTTCTGAATTTGACCTTCAGCTTTGATAAGCAGCATGCAGTACGTACTCCTTGAACCTTTCCTTTCAACTTTCAACATTCCGTACTCATCTAGTCTAGACCCTCCTTGTCCTTGGTTTCTTTGGTTGGATTGTTATATTCCTCTCTCGGCAAGAGCAACACAGCAGCGGGGGGCCCGACGGTATCCGTGGGGTCTGTTTGTCTCGCTAACTATCATCACATGTACACCAGTGGTGGAGGACAGCTGGTACGGCTGTGGGGGCTACGGCATATCTGGGCTACAGGGGGGGGGGGGGG